CCCCATGTCCCCCCCCCCCCCCCCCCCCAGCATCTGCCTGGTACTGCTGTCTCCTGCCAACCCCAAGAATGTCACTTATCTCTGCATCCTGATTCATCTCTCTCCTCATTCTGTCTCTTCTGTGCCTTTTAATCTGTCTCTTTTCTAGCTGGATTATCTCTTTCAGGGGTGTCACTGCTCTCCTGTCTTCTCTGACTCTCTCTTTTCATTCTCTCTCTGCTCTGTCTCTCTCCTCTCTATCTCTGCTCTGTCTCTCTCCTCTCTCTCTGCTCTGTCTCTCTCCTCTCTCTCTCTTCTATGTCTCTCTCTCTCGGCTCTGTCTCTCTCTCAGCTGTGTCTCTGTCTCTCTCCTCTCTGCTCTGTCTCTGCCCTCTCTCTCCTCTCTGTCTCTCTCCTCTCTATCTGATCTGCTCTGTGTCTCTCCTCTCTCTCTCTGCTGTCTCTCCCCCCCCCCTCTCTCTCCGCTCTGTCTCTCTCCTTTCTCTCTTCCCTCTTTGTCACTCTCTTCCCTCTTTCTTTTCTCTCTTCTAATTAGATTTTCTGTCTTTCTTTCAACCTCTATTCCTTCTCTCTCTTCTGTTTCTCCTCTCTGCCCCCCGTTCAGTCTAAGCTCTCTGCTTCTCTCTTTCCTGTCTCCTTTGTGTCTCTTCTCTCCTCTTCCTTGTTTCTGTTCTCTTTCTTATCTCTGTCTCTTTTCTCTATCCTCATCCTTCTCTTCTCCCTCTCTGCTCTGCCTCTGTCTCTCTTCTCTCTGCCCCTTTTCTCTCCTCGCTCACTTTTCTGTCTCTCTCCTCCGCATCTTATGTCTCTCTTTTCCTTTTCTCTCCTCTGTCTCTCTTCTCTGCCTCATCTCTATTTCCTCCTTTATTTCTCTCCGTTATCATTTTAGCCTTCTCTGTCTAAACTCTCTGTGCTGCCTCTCTTCTCTGAACCATTTATCTCTCTCTCTTCTCTCCTGTTTATCTTTTCTCCATCCCTCTTCTCTCTTTTCTCTTCATGTTTCTGTACTCTGTCTTATCTCTGCCTCTCTTCATTTCCCGTTTCCTGTATATATTATTATATCATTATTTCCTCTCTCTTCTCTTTTATACTGTCTTATCTTTCCATGTTTCCTCCCTGTCCCTCTGTATTCTATCTCTGTCCCATCTCTCCTCTTTGTCTTCTCAGTCTCCTATCAATGTATTTCCTCTGCCTGTCTAGTTGCTCTCCCTCTCTCTATATCGTCTCTGTCTGATTTGGTTTTGTGCTCATTGGTATCTCTTCTGTATTGTAACATATATCCCAAAAACAAACACCGGTGCAGCGCACTGCCATGTCTATACGTTCATTGTCTACATTACACTGGAGAGTTCCAGAATTTCGACTCTATGACCTACAGAGACTCCTACTGCTGTCTCCAACACCCCACACCGAAGGGACTCATAACACAACCATGATGGAACTCAGTCCAAGGGTCCCGTTATTTAGAGCTCCGGAGTGTCAGAGTGATACAGTAAACCGGTTGGTTGGTTCAGCCAGTTGGTTGGAACACCCAGAGGAACATTTGTAGGCCCCCATAGGGCCACTTATGCCTCTTAGTACAATGAGTTTATATGAGAATGCTTTGTATCGAGTTTCGGTAACCAAAAGCTTATAAAACAATGATTTCTATCAAGTTATAGGAACCAAAACCGTACATCACGAATGGAGAAGCCAGACACTTATTTCAATCAAGCAAACGGGGAGACAAACAATTTGCATCAGATAAGAGGAAGCGAGGACTTACTGTACATGAAAGAGAAGCAAACCAATGGCTTTCATCCAGTACCGAGAAAGCCAAAAACAACTGGCAATTAAGGGGAAGCCAGTAACTGAAACCAGTCAGGGGAATCCAAAGACTTCTGTCAACTAAGGGGAAGCCAGTGATGTAGACTTCATGGTCAGAGGTTTGCGAGCCGCTGGCCATTACACCTACCTACATGGCCAAAAGTATGTGAATCCCCCTCCAAATGACTGAGTTCGGGTGTTTCCAGTGAAGGTTCCGTTAATACTACATCACACAAAGACATTGAGCTCTTCCAGCCTTGTGGTAACAGTTTGGTGAAGACCGTTTTCTGTTCCACCATGACTGTCCCCTGTGTGCAAAGCCAGCTCCATAATGTCATGGTGTGACCCGTTTGGTGAAGACCCTTTTCTGTTCCACCATGACTGTCCCCTGTGTACATAGCCAGACATGGTGTGACCACTTTGTTGTGGAGGAACTTGAGTGTCCTGCACGGAGCCCTGACCTCAACCCTACTGAGCACCTTTTGGATGAATTGGAATGCCGATTGCGAGCCAGGTCTTCTCATCCAACATCAGGACCTAACCTCACAAATGGGCGCAAATTCCCACAGACACCCTCCAAAATTTTGTGGAAGCCTTCCCAGAAGAGTGGAAGATGTTATAGCCACAAAGGGGGCAACTCTATATTATTGGCCGAAGAGAAGGACAACTCCATGTTAATGGCCATGGGGAGCAACTCAATGTTATTGATCATGGGGGCAACTGTATATTAATGGCCAAATGGAAGGACAACTCCATATTAATGGCCAAGGAAAAGGAGAACCTCATATTAATGCCCAAGGAGAAGGACAACTCCATAATAATGACCAAGGAGAAGGACAACTCCATATTAATGACCAAGGAGAAGGACAACTCCATATTAATGTGCAAGGAGAAGGACAACTCCATATTAATGGCCAAGGGGAAGGAAAACTCCATATTAATGACCAAGGAGAAGGACAACTCCATATTAATGGCCAAGGAAAAGGACAACCTCCTATTAATGCCCAAAGGGAAGGAAAACTCCCTATTAATGGCTAAGGGGAATGAAAACTCCATATTAATGCCCAAGGTGAAAGACGACTCCATATTAATGACCAAGGAAAAGGACAACCTCATATTAATGACCAAGGGGAAGGACATCCTCATATTAATGCCCAAGGAGAAGGACAACTCCATATTAATGACCATGGGGAAGGACAATTTCATATTAGAGGCCAAGGGGAAGGACAACTCTATATTAATGGCCATGGGGGACAACTCCAAATTGATGGCCAAGGGGAGGGACAACTCTATATTAATGGCCATGGGGAAGAACAACTCCATATTAATGGCCAAGTGAAAGGACTACTCCATGTTACCGGCCATGGTTCTGGAATGGGATCTCCAACCACCAGGTTCAGGTGTCCACCAACATTTGGCCATACAGTGTACATTATAAAAGGCAGAGTCAAGGACTGACGTCCAGCCAGGCCGCATCCACAACTCACGTCAAGTATGAATTCCACCAAGGTGTCGGCCGAGAACTCTCCGTCATACTCAATAATCTCATCGTCCTTAAACACGTAGATACTGTCTTCCTCATCCAGTCCTGGAAAAAGCGGAAATGGGAGAAGGTCGTTATTTCAGTATCACCAACATTTTTTAGGAAGTTTATTTTAAGGATCTATCCAAAAAATACAACTTATGCTGGAGGACAAGCACGTGAGATCCCTCAAAATATCCAGGTCACTAAACCAAGTTTGTCCATTGAGAGATGTCAACAAGGAGCCCATCAGTTCATTTTCCCTCCTATTTATAGAGTGTGTTCCCCCTAACTTCCTGTGTGGTCACCAGGAACAGGAAGTGAACTGAAATCTCCCCGAAAAGGGACACAGGGGGCAATAAAAACCTGATACAGGTTCTCACATCCCAACCGAAACCTAAAATCCTGCAATTTTATCTCTCGCACACCTTTCTCTGGCACGTCCTCTGTGTTCGTTCCTCGGCTCGCGCTGCCGTCTGCTTTTATTTACGGGAGAAACCCAAATCAGAAATAATTTACTCAGCGACAGATAGCCAGCAGATGTCCCGGAGACAAAGCAGGCCGGGCTACCGGGAGCCGCTCAAGCTGTTTGCAATCTGTGCTTTTAAAGGGCGCGTTCACATTTGGAGTTATTGTAAACGTTCTAAAAGAGATCCTTCTGTGCCTTTCCTTTGTTTGCTGTTCCATATTTCCACGGCCGCCGGATGCGTGACTGCTCCCTCTAGTGGCCGTCTGTATATCAACGCATGATAATGTAACCTGTGACATGCCCCTGTGAGCTATGGCCAGCTCACAGGGGCATGTCAATGGCAGCCAATCAATGCATTTTATACCCGAGACCAATGTGCCTCCCCGGGGGGGGAGAAGGGGGGGGAGAGAGAGGGGGCGGTAAACAGTGAATGTCTGGCCCCTTTAAGGACACGCCCCCTGGTGATGATTCCAGGTAACTTTATTAATTGCACGTCTTCCTTATTGGTTACAAAGTATCATGTTAGAGAAGGAGGCGGTCTCATGGAGTCAGGTCACCCATGTAACATGTTACACATGATTTCACCCCAGGAGCCGCCCACGCCTACCCCAACCACTCCCCTCTTGTCTCTAATCATCAGCCGCCTTATAAAATTGGGAGGAGTTATGCAAATGTAAATGCAAGCAGATCCTGACTGGTGGGAGGGGCCAGCAGGGTGCTGTATATGTCTTCCTGAAAACATCACAGCACCCGGCCTCGGTACTCTTCTCATGAGCCGTCAAGCCCTGACGCAAGCAGTGGGCTGGCTCTTGGGGGGAGTTATGCAAATATCAAAATGCCGTGAGGGCTGGTGGGAGGGGTCGGCAGGGTGCTGTACATGGCTTCCTGAAAACATCACAGCGCCGGGCCTCGGTACTCCTCTCATAACCAGTCCCATGCAAGCAATGGGAGGGGTTATGCAAATATCAAAACGCCTCGATGGGCGGCTGTCAGTCTGGAGGCGTGGGCGTTCCATGGTAACACAGACATGTGACGCTGAGCCTCCATGATTGGAAGAAACTGAAATCCAATGAATGAAAGGGGCGGGGCCAGGGGCGGGCCAGCTGGGGAGGAAAGGGCTAGACGACCCGGGATGTCCTCCGGCCAGGAAATGAGTCGGGCTCCCAGTGCTCCTAGTGTGTGGGAATCTTTCAGCGGCCGCGGCCGTTTTCGTATGAACATCAGACAGAGACAAATCCGGCATGTGAGTGACAATGGGCCCCAGGTGGCCGCAGCGCGCTCAGCATAATGGCCCCCCCGGGGCCCGTCTCTCCTCTGTTATTAACAGGCAGGAAGTTAATGTGGTGACAACATTTCTGCATTTTAATTACAAAAGCGATTACCATCCACTGAGGGCGCGGAGGGAATTGTCACAGCCGGAGTGCTAATGAAGTTGAGGCAGCGGGGGGGGGGGGGGGCAGATATTTTTTTTGGGAGAATGAGTCGTGGCTTAGGCGTAAATATCACAATTGAGACTATTTCCAGTGGGGGCCCAGCAGCTCCTATATTAATTTTGGTTGCCCCCCTGTCTGCCTTACATCTTGTGTTTTCTGCTGCCGTGAAACCCAGACACGGCGTTCAAAACCCGGACTGGCCGGGTGAACCCGGGACAGGTGGCAACCCTAGGTGAGGAGCCTGCAGGGAGCGTTCCAGCATCTCAAACAGGCGCCTTCCAGGATTCAGTGTGTGTTCCGGCTTCTCAAACAGGCGCCTTCCAGGATTCAGTGTGTGTTCCGGCTTCTCAAACAGGCGCCTTCCAGGAGCGCCAGCAACACCGGGGCTGGGTGAAGAACGGCAGCACCGGGAGCTGATGCCAAAACAGGCTCTGACACAAACACATGATGCCTCCGGTCCGTGTCTTCTATTAATAAGATCCCCGAGTCTCTATCATTCCGAGAATCGGTGAAGGACCGTTGCCCGCCGCCCGCCCTCTTTCTTGGAACGCGGTCCCTGTGATGGCAGACGCGCTCTCATCCCCGCGCTCTCTCGCCGTGCAATTATCTCTACCTCTCCAGTGATAATGAGAAATCGTATTGAACCCGGACTCTGCGTTTGTATATAGCACTCGGCATATGGGGCCACGCGGAAGGGTCAGCTGCAGACTTCTAATAGATATATAAAAACAAAATGAAGAGACCGCCTCCATCCGCTGAATCGAAGTTTAACTAGACATTTTTTTTTTAAAGAGGACCTGTCATTTATTAGTAAACTGGGGGCGAATACACGGCGAATCACATGAATTCAGGATATGTCCCTATTCTGTGATCAGAGAGCCGTGACGCTGCTTCCTTGTCTTCCGCCGCCCCCGCTGATGTCAGGCGCTCACACTGCGAGACCCTACCCCCCCGTGTGTGTCACAGACAGAATGGTTCTCCTCAATGAATGGTGAGTGGGGAGGAGATCCGCGGGGGAGGGCAAAGAGAACGCCTCTAGGGCTGGAAGTTAGGGGGAAAATGGAGCGCCCATTGCAGTGGTCGGATCCACGAGAAAAGTGCGCTTAAGGTGACCTCAATTTTTTTTTTATAAGCAATTTGCAGAATCATTCGCCCTGTGAAACTGCAAGAAGGCAATAATTAATGTTATTGGCATATTTTATTTGCAGGTCGAATGTAATATCAGGAAAATATACGATTATGGCCACTAGATGGAGCTGAGGAGCAGAGAAAATAAGTATTTATTTCCTGTGCTCCTCAGCGCCATCTAGTGGCCAGAAATACTTATTTCCTGTGCTCCTCCCCTCCATCTAGTGTCCATAAATACCTATTTCCTGTGCTCCTCCCCTCCATCTAGTGTCCATAAATACCTATTTCCTGTGCTCCTCAGCTCCATCTAGTGGCCAGAAATACTTATTTCCTGTGCTCCTCAGCTCCATCTAGTGACCATAAATACTTATTTCCTGTGCTCCCCTCCATCTATTGGCCAGAAATACTTATTTCCTGTGCTCCTCAGCTCCATCTAGTGGCCATAATACCGTATAACATTACACTCGACCTACAAAGAAGAATGTTCGTTTTTGCCTCTATTTGCACAGAACAAACGTCCACAGAGATTCGCACGGTGAATGGCTCTGCATATTGTTTATAAATACCCCCCCCCCCCCCCCCGC